AATAAATCAAACTTTTTGTCATATAGTAGCCTATACTCTCTCTTATAGGTCATGCAATAGCTATTGTTTTTTTGTTATGGTTGTGTTACTTAAGTTCTTGTGCAAGACGTTTAAACAATAAAGTGAATGTTGTGTAACAAAACATGTACCTTAATATTTCATGAATCTATTTTTATTTTTTTTCTTTATTTTTTTGTAGGATTTTGCATTCCTACTAAATTAAAAAAATGCATTGTGATTATTAGAAGGATGAAAAACCGACCATTTTACAGTAACAGAGTCAGTTCAGCTCACGGATGCAGATGAATGAATGTTTGTAGCATCAAAACAAGGACAAAAAGTCATTGTTGTGAACTACTGTAATGACTTTAAAAGCAGCTACATGCTGTAGATTCTGGAAGTTAAAATCTTCATTTATTCCACAAGGAGAAGGACTTTTGATGATTCTGATATATACAGTTTATCTGTTTGTTTGTTTTTTGCTTTAGTCTTGAAACTTCAAACTTCAGTTTGAAAAGTTTGTACTGCTGTGATTCTGAACGCTTGCACTATATTGCCTCATTAGTAACTTTTCACTATTTTTGATTGAACTGTTTAATAATGCTGTAAATGTGTGTGTGTTTCGGCTTCAGATTACTGTTGTGATTCTGAACTGTTGCACTGAAACCATCTGTTAGTTAATGTTCATTATATAAAATATAAAAGTTAATTATATTGCCTCATAATGAACTTTTTCACTATTTGATTTTTGAGGTTTAATGCTGTAAATGTGTTTATATTTAACCACCATTCAAATTTATTCTCACACCCGTGCAGTTATAATATAGGCCTATGTATGAGTCATAAATGTATATAGTTCAGTTAGTAAATATTCCGTTTTCAGTAAAATTCTGTGGTGACTAGGGATGTCAACGATTAATCGACGATCGATTAATTGTCGATAAGCGATGCAATCGATTAAAGCTATCGATGGTCGATTAAGTCGTTTAATTTTGGGCTGCGTATACGCTGTATGTATGTATAGATGCTATATGAGCTCGAACGGCATCCAAAAGCATGGTCGCGATGTAACATTTTCCAGCTAACCAATTATTCCTCTAATAAACAAAGCTTTTATACCACACTTGTCATAATCAGAGCTTATAATTGGTAGGATAAATAATTGCTGGATTCAAAACAGCAATTAATAGCCGCTGTGACCGACACTTGACTATACGTTTTCCCGGAGCATTCAATGATGATTCACTAAACGGTGATGCCACAACTAGAGCATCCTTCACAAGTTTCTGTAGGACTTAACTAGCCTAGGCACAGGTTTTCAAACCCTGGGACAAAATGGGATGCTTTAAGGAAAATATATAGCCTATGTAAGTAATAGGCCTAAATAAAAATAACAATTTGATTTCATAAAAAAAAAAAGCGAAATATATCTGGCTTAAATAATTAAGCTAACAGATTTAAAACAGAAGTGTGGCGCAGCGCTCCATAAACAAGTTTTTTATGTTTCAGCTGTTCGATCGCACCGGCGCCTCGCGCGCACACGCCCCACATATTCTAGCAATTCAAACTTACATCGCAGTCTGTTCATTATCAAAATAAAATACAGTCAACCAAACATATACAAGGTTACACTGGTCAGTTTAAATAGACCGTAGTATACCGGTCCACTCTGCTGTTATGCCAAGGACTTTTCTGCTCATGTGAAGAGGATGATCTTTTCCGTCTATATGCGAATGCGTGTAAAGTAGCTACAAGCCTAGTTTACATTATAAGTAATAGTTTAACATTCAAATACATTGCGAATATGGAAACATTTGGATTTGTGCCGAATGGTACGTGAGTAGGTAATAACCTCCAAATACATCTAGCCAAACCCGCGCTCGCTCCGTCTCGTATGCACGCAAGCAAGCACTGTCACCATCTAATGCACTGTCAATGCCGGATTTTTAAAAACAAATAGGCCTACCGGAACGCAAAAATTCAAAATCTGACATTTTCTGGAACAAGTAACTTTTGCACATCCTGTCATGCCGGGCTGCATAGACGCATTTTGCAGCATTAAGGTTAACGATTAATCGATTAATTGATCGTTAATTTAAACGACGATCGATCATGGATTTATTGTGATTTATTGGTGTGACAAATATTAGATTTGTTTTTTCATGGTTGCTACATGCAATGATAAAACAAAATGAAAATAGCCACATAACATAAATGAATGAAAAACTGAAAACAGTGTAATTAATGTAAAATGCATAGTATTAAAGACAAAAGAAAAAAACATTAAAGAATATTTATTGTTTTGGCCTCCAGATGGCCTCAATACATTAGATTTGGAAACCTTTTCAAATCGAGTTCAGAGGAAAGTATTGGTAAAGCTTCGTTTCACCATCACAAAACAATTAGACCACACATAATTTTTATCTTTACAATTAAAAATCCAATAAATGTCAGAATATCTATGATATCTGTTATGTTCCCTTTCAACCTTTAGTAGATCTGACGTCATTGACCAGAAGAACAGCAGCAGCAGCAGCAGCCACGCCCATCAGAACAGTGACGACCAATCGGATCACAGCTTCAGCAGCATCACAATGATGGATGTGTACGTCTGTAAATAAATTATTTAATAAATAGTCATTTTCAATAAGCTGACTATAGTCTCTATAGATGAACTAAAAAAACTGAACGTTTTACTGAAGTGTAAAAAAAAAAGTTATCTGCACAATATAGCCTGTTTAGAAATACATGAGTGAGCTAAAGCAGTGTTTACCAACCGGGGTGCCGTGTAAAAAAATAAAATTTTAATATTTTCAAATTGCTAAAATGTTCAAAAAAGCATCTATTATATAATATACATTTCTGATGTCGCCAATAATTAGAGATTCGAGACGAAATTCCGGAGACCGCTCAGGTTTCACTTTCACATGTTGTGACGCTCTGCGTATTATCCCGCTCTGTGCATGTGCTCTCCTGGAGCGCTCCACTCATACACCGTTCATGCTCATCGGAACAGCAAAGTCCACTCAAAAATCGAGCCGACACGAAACTGTGTAGTACAGTATTGTTTCTGTTTGCAATAGCCCTACTGTGCTGTAACAAGGTGTGGTAAATGGGCAACTCTGGTAACGCTGCCCTCTCATTCATTGATCTGCTAACAGCTATGTTATGCTCATGTGTTCTGATAATAATAGCTTTCTAGGACTAAACATTATTTGGATAATTGGTAAAAAAATAAATAAAATAACTATTAAAAATAGTTAATAGCCCTACTGTTAGACCTACCTGAAAAACTAAAAAGCAATTTATTTCATTTGTAGGCCTATCTTTATTTTTTACTTGTGCTATCATTAGTAATTTGTTTATTTGTTCTTATTTTATTACTGACTGCTTACTTGTCATTTTTATTCAATTCAAAGTTTGAAATCAAGCTATCTCGTGCTACTGCACCAAAATTACCCCACTGTAAAATCAAAAATACACTGAGTGAGCAAAAATTTGTGAGATAGCTAGTTATAATGGTAATTAAATACACTGTAAAAACAATTATGTAAAATGTACGGTAAAAAAACGGCAGCTGTGGTTGCAGGAATTTTACCATAAAAAATAAGGTAGCAACGTTTTAGGTTTTACGATTTTAACTTAAATGTACAGTTAAATACCATAATTTCATTAACTGATATAATGTTAATATACCAACCTTATTGAAGTACTGAAATCTGTTTTGTAGCTTTGTAATACACTGATAACCACCAAATGCAGGAGGTGATGAGAAAGTCTCATCATGAACCAAAGCCCATCACAAGCAGCTTTTAGATATTAACATTTATAGAAGGTGCACAGTGTCATTCACACAAACACTAAACACCATCATGGTAACACACATGAAACTGAAATAATGCAATAAACATTAATTTAACTACATTAGGTGTAACACATAACCCTAATATACAAAACTGATTAAAAAAACTAAGAAGAAACAGTTATTTCAACAAAAAACCCATCAAATTTGAAATGTAACGCAGGGAATTCTGGGAATGTCTATTTACGGTTATTCACTGTAAATTATACAGTCTTTTTCACTTCCAAAAACGGTATACTAACGTAAAATTAATGTCTAATACATGTAATGTCCAATACAGTTTTTCACCGTATATAGTAGGGGAATTTACCGTTAACCATTTAACAGGTTTTTACTGTAGCATTTTTACAGTCTTTTACCGTTAAATTCATGGTAATTTTTTACAGTGTAATGTTTACATATGAATAAAAGCCTACATTAAAATCTGTCATATAAATTGGTCTCTTCATTAAAAATTCGCCTACTGATTGCCACCATTGATGGACAATTTTTTTTTATATTAAAAATATCTGTATGACAGTATATTCTGCAGTTCTTTCCTGATGTACCGAATATACTTTTCAAGGTATATCGAAGTTAAAAATTCAAGTATTGTGACAAAATGAATTTTGTAGGGTGCCACAAATTTGCTAAAATTTCCAAAGGGTCCCGCGACTAAAAAAGGTTGGGAAACACTGAGCTAAAGGATGACCGAAGCTCATTCATCATTTCTGGCATCGTAAGTTATCAGTTTTGGTAAAATAAATCTAATTAATTAAGTGGATAGGTGCAATAGATGCTCTTATCAGCGCTGCTGTACCTGCACATGTGTGACAGAGTTGAGTGATGTCCAGATGTGTGGTCTGGTTGCTGATGGGATTGTTGAGCACACAGCTGTAGGTGTTGTTATCCTGATATTCCACCTCCAGAGGTAGAGAGAGACTGATGCTGAGATCAGACACACTGATGCTGGACAATAAACTGTTTCCTTTGTACCAGGAGAGAGTCACATGACCCACATTCACCACTGAACACAATAATGAACAATATGATGATGATGATGATGAAGAACACTTTGAAGAGTTATTAATGATGACAGGAACAGGCAGACGAGCTGGGAAACATGAGACAAACATGACTAGATCAGAAAGTGTTTATTGCAGCATTAGTCAGTCAGTGAGTTTCTTATATGACAGCGATCTTCACTTCTCTCTCCACATTTATAAAAGATTATTACACATGGACAAGTAGCAAAGAAGAAACTGATGCTTAATTGAAATGATTTAGTTATTTTATTACTCAATAATCAAAATAAATGTAAAATAAATAACCTTTAATTTACAGGTAAATAAAAAGGTGAAACAAATATTTAACTCACCATAGACAGTGAGACTGAAACTCTTTTTCACACTGTTGATCTGTAGTTTATAATCTCCAGCATGTTCAGTTCTGGTGTTTGTGATGATCAGAGATCCAGTTTGATGATCCACCTTCAGTCTGTCTCTGAATCTCCCGTCAAGAACATCATCAAATACAGTGACTCTCTCATCCATTACAATGATTTGAGCTATTAATGTGTTTTCAGATCCAAACCTCCACCGAATCAGATCTTCATCCATCATTTCAGTTACACCAGAGTTTAGAGTGACTGAATCTCCCTCCAGCACTGACTCCACTGTAACCGTATCACCAAACACACCTGATAAACACAGTCACAGATTTGATGATTTGAATATTCCACACAGAAAAACTGCAGCCCAGTTCAATCTTTAAAGCCCTTGATTTCGGCGGATCGTGATTTGATTATTAGCCCAATTAAGTTATATGAACTTACTTTTCCTCTTTAACTCCATTTGTCATTTTACGTTTTGGATATTGAACTAAAGTTTATATGTTCTTGAAAATTAAATATAAAGTAATACATTGTCTTGACTTCTGAGTTTTGTCTGGCTTGTAAAATTCATTTAACTCGATCGTGTCTGTAAGTCATATGTTGGGGAGGGGTGATAGGCCTACACAGAGACCGCGAAATACAGAACGTCAGTCATCGCCATTTTAGGTGCAGCTGCCTGGAGACCTTACATGAATTCGTGTCGAGAAACACAAAGAATGCGAGGAAGCTGAGTTTTTTTTTTGTAATGATAAATTAATAATGTTGCGATTTATTGCGTGTTAGCAAATTTGACCGTGCTCCGCGAATGTAATATGAGTTTTCCCTAGTTTATTCACTGCTTTCCAGAGCCTCAAACGCTAAAAAAGTTATATCACTTCAGTTCACAGTGCTTATATTTTAGTTGGTCTTCGACCTGAAGTCTTCACTTATTATTATTTATTTCAGTTGTTGCGTGACTAGGCCCATATTGAGCCGCAATCTGTGAACATCCGGTCCCATTCGGCCACCTGTATTTTGCTGCAGGATACATTAAACTTCCAAAAAGCGTCTTTCTCAGCTGTCCTGTACTGTATTTGTACTGTAATTCCAAAAACAGACAAACATTCAAATCCAGGAAGCTGCTGGCTTGAACGGGTGTTCACAGATGACGACTCACTTGACGGGGGCCATGTAAGGACCATAGACTGTATAAAAATTATGAGATAATCAAGATGCATGATGTAAGAAAATATGTTTACACATTGTTAATGTACTGATGATACTGAATTCATTGTAGAACACAGTGGGCCTCATTTATCAATCTAACGTAGAAACGAGCGCAGATCTGTGCGCACAAATCAACTTACGACAGAGTTCACGTGTGATTCATGAAACACTCTTATGCCGCCAATCTCATCGTACGAATGATCGTATGTTTTTTTTTTAATTAATGCTCAAAAATCAAGAATAGTACACATAGAATAATACAACCATTAACATAAAAAGATAAAAAATAATAACAAAAAAGAAAGAAAAAGAACAAAGGAAAAAAAGAAAAAAAGAAAAAAGGGGGTTGTTAATACATTATACACTGAAAGAATACAATTGAGATTTACATGTCATTAAAGATAGGAAAAAAGATAGGAAAAAAGTTACAGATAGATAAAGTTTTTAAGGCTTCTTTGTTCTTAGACAACTGGATTAATGAAAGGTATTGCTCAAAATCTTTTATAAAAACAAAGAAGAGAGGTCTAGAATTTGAATATTTGCATTTGTGGATGTGAAATTTTGCAAGAAGCAAAACCAGATTCACTACATAAAACTGTTTCCTTTTAGATTGTTCATACTCAATAAAACCCAATACTACGTCCTTCCAAAACAGAATACATTCATTATAAATGTTACTCCTAATGAAACTTAAAACATCTTGCCAAAATTTCTTTGTAAATGGACAGTTCCAAAAGAGATGAACAACAGTTTCAACAGAGTCATCACAAAAAGAGCAACTGGAGGAAATATCACTTTTGAATTTTTTCATGTGAATGATCGTATGTTGATAAATGTGGCTGCAGAAAACAATCGTCATTTGAATAGCACGCCCCTAAAAACTCCCTGGTTTAGAAGCCTAGCCCCTAGAGTTTACGACACGGAGAAATGAAACCCGGCCAAAAAGAGGAAGTAATCTTGTGAAAGAGAAATGTATCTTACTCCAAAAACACCCGTTAACCTTGTAGGCCTAATTGCAAACAATTAGGCTACATTAATATATGTAATTTATATGTAGCCTATATTAAAATCTACTGGTAAATATAAACAGCCTATTTAGTTCCCCTCACTCTACAACAAATATTTTAAATGTAACGATATTCAGAACAGAACAAGAATGAAAAATAAGTAGTTATAAAATTATATTTTAAAATAAAATAAAACACAAATTAGGCTATTGGCATTCATTAAACAGCATACAAATGTCAAGCAAAACTGAAACGGCATTGGGCTCACGAGCCTGCCTCATACCACAAGAATCCAAATGTATCCATTTTTGCCATATTTGTAACATTTGTTTGCATAACTATTATTCATTATGTAGCCTAAACATGGCTTTATACTTCAGTCATGTTCTATATCCGTGTAAAATCCTTCACATGTGCAAAAATGTTTGTTTGGGCCCTGCACGCTGATTTTACAGCAGACCTTTTAAAATAAACAGTGTTACTTTTATGTTTGGTTGACTGCATTTTAGTTTGATGATGAATGGCTGAAATGTCAGGCAACGCTAGAACTAATGTTGTTTGTGTGTGCGTGAGGCGCCTGTGCGATCAGATGGATTAAATCAAATAAAGATA